ACAAGACGTTCGGGTCAACCATGGCTTCAAGGACCATACCCTACGCCCTGGTAGGAAAGGTACTGCCAGGGAACGACTGGACAGGTGCTTTAGACCCTCCCGGGCACCGTAGAGCCCAAAAGGTATTGCAGGCGCGTACTCCTCGCCCTGTAGAGTTGTAGGCGCCGCCTTCAGCTCTGGGACACGGGACCCAACGAAGATACACGACAACCACTACACTCCAGAAAAGGATTTGTGATCTCCACGAATGACGGACATGCCGTCACCACATTATGGACCCAAGGGAGCGGCGCCCGCTTCCCGAACCCTCGGGTCCACCAAATCAAAGGACCTTGCCCATAGCGCTACTCCGGACCTCGACTCCGCGTCCCTCCAACAGAGACTCATAGAGCCAGAAGGCATGCGGAGCAAGGTTAGGCGAGGTTCATAAGTCAAAACCACTATACTCCAGCCCATACCCTGCGTAGGGCACTATTCTGTAACCATCCTGACATTCTACAGAAGCATCGACAGTATTGTAGGCGCTTATCTTCCTTTCGCACCCATTAGAATGGGTAAGGAGGCTGGGTAGAAGTGAGCCACAAGGCTAGGTAGAGCACGGATCCTAAGCCCTGACCCTTGTAAAGCCGTCCCCTTCATCTATAAAAGGGGATGCGCTTCCTCCAGCTGGGGGACCAAAAAAACAACGCAACAAACACACATAGTCAAGCTGCTACCAAGCTCTTGGCTTTCTTTCGACCCTTCCATCAGAGACTTGGGACCTGTCCCTCTCTCGATCGTTTGTATCCCCGACTACGAACCATTCACGGTGCTAATAACACGAGCAGCAACAAACTGGACGTAGGGATATTCAGCCCAAACCAGTATAAATCTTGTGTCCTTTAGCGCACCATCCGAGCCTAACGCGCATTACTATAAATTTACTTGCCGGTGCTTGTACGAAACACCGACAATGAGTTTTGAAGCCACAGTAATTTTTGGAGGCGGCAATGAAACTACGTTAGCAAAATCTCTTGTCATAGCAGTTAAAGGACCAGCACAACAATGGTACTCTTTGCTAAAAGCAAAATCCATACAATCATGGGATCAACTTAAAGCAAATTTACTTATTGACTTCCAAGGATTCCAGCCAGTTGGCCTCACAGACATAGATCTGTTCAATTGCAAGCAACAAATCAAAGAGCCCCTAACCAATATTTCAAAAGATTCATTCAAATCAAAGCACAAATTCCAAATATCCCAGACAAAGTGGTAATAATAGCCACAATCAAAGGGCTTTGAGTAGGCCAATGTGCTTCTCATCCCGCTCGAGAAAAACCAAGTACAGTTGCTGAGCTTTACGAAGTCATTAAAAATACTGCAAGTCAGATGATGATTACAGGAAAAGAATAGAGCAAGAAAACAACTTTAGGGCTCAAATCAAGCAAAGCAACAACAACTTCCACCCTCCAAGACCAAATAATTATGAGCGAAGACCATTTACACCACACAACCAAGTCAATCAAATCGAGAATGACAGCGATTCAACGGCTAAAAGTGATTATGCTCACCAAAATCAATACAACCAGCGAATTCAATTCAATGAAAGAACATTTGAAAGAGGAACCTTTAGCACAAGAGGAAGAGGAGGAAGAGGAAGAGGAAGAGCACCTCTAAAACCTGAAGATATGTATTGTATTATTCATGGCAAAGGGGCTGGACATACATCTAAGATGTGTCCCAAAGTAAAGAAAAGCATTGAAGAAGCCCAAGAACAAAACAGAGCACCAAGCCAATTAAAAGTTGTCAATCATGTGAGGCAAGAACATCAAAGTTCTCATCAAACTTATTACCCAATACACTATGGACATGCCCAAACACTACTTCCAGGGCGACCACCCGCATACAGCTATGAACTCTAAGTAATGTACCATCCCATGCAAAATCAATAGAGACAAAATCAACCTCAGCAATCCAATGTTCAATCAACACAACCTGAAGCCTCGGTTGCAAACAACAACCCACAAAACAGTCAAGCCAAGCAAGAAAACAACTCTCCATCAGCTTCAGCAGTAAACAACAATGCAATCATCCCAAGCAGAGGAAGAATATTGACAATAACGGGAGGAAATAGCATGGACCATGAAAATAATAGTCAAAGAAGAAACTACTTCCGAAAAGTAAATTCAATTTCAATGGAAGGCCTATACAAGAAAACAAGATGATCCCATTTACCGATCACATTTTTAGAAGAAGACCATCAGCTAAAAGATTACCCACATATGGATGCTATGGTAATCGAAGCAAACATTGATGGATGGGCAATTTCAAAAAAATTTGTTGATGGTGGCAGCTCCACAGACATTATATTCACATCAACAATAGACGCCGTGAAAATTGATCACAAAATATTAGGGAGAGCAGAACACCCGCTTTATGGCTTCGGTGGGAAAAAGATACACTCAATTGGGAGAATAGTTTTACCAGTCTCTTTCAGAACAGTAAGCAATGCAAGAACAGAACAAATAGCATTTGATGTGGTTGACATGTATTATCCATATAACGCACTCTTTGAAAGAGGAACCTTAAATGCATTTGAGGTAGTCATAAGCTACTCTTATTTGTGTATGAAAATGCCAGCAATAAATGGAGTAATCACAGTCCACGGAGACCAAACTGAGGCAAGAAATATTGAAAAAGAATATACTCCAGGACAAAAGAATGTTCATGCGATTACTAAAGATGAAAAAGAAGAAACAGAAAATATGAAGCCTCAACCCAAAGCTCAAGCTTGTGAAGAGACAAAAGAGTACCTCTCGATCCACTAGTATCAGACAAACAAGTCATTATTGGTACTGGACTTTCTCAAGAAAAAGAAGACAAACTCATGGAATTTCTTCTAAGCAACAAAGATGTATTTGCTTGGTCATCCAATGACTTATTGGGAGGAGTCAGCAGAGACATAATTGAGCACAAACTAGACATCAATCCAAAATTCAGACCAAAAAAGCAAATGTTGAGAAAACTAGTCGAAGATAGAGTTCAGGTTGCCAAAGCTAAAGTTCAAAGATTGCTGGATGCAAAAGTTATAAGAGAAGTTCAGTTTACAACTTGGCTAGCAAACATTGTCATGGTCAGGAAAAAGAATGGAAAATGGTGAATGTGCATCGATTTTACAGATCTCAATAAAGCATGCCCAAAAGACAATTTCCCACTACCAAGAATTGATACATTAGTTGATCAAGTAGCAGGAAGTGATTACAAACGTCCCAGAGCGCGTACAAGAGTTGGGAGTTTCTATGGGCGACGCGTAGCCGGCTAGGAGCTCTTGCTCCAATAGTAATGAACACAATCCACTGGCCTGAACGTGAACCAAATTCTCCAGGAGTTGAAGCTTAGGTTGACAAGCTCTATAATGAAGTTTGGAGGCTCAACATCTCAAAGAATCATAGGGGGAGGCTCAACATCTCAAAGAATCATAGGGGAACCAAAGAGGAGAGCTTGGGGGCCTTCAATGGAGATTGAGAAACTTGTCTACTGGTGAGAGTGAGGTCTGGTCGAGATAGCCGTTGGGGAGGAAGGTGAAGAGGTATAAATACCTCCCTCTTTCCCAACTGACAGTTAAGTCGGGAAAGTGCCATGATATGTGCGGCAGTGCCAGGCCAGCCAGAACAATAAAGGAATAAGATTTAGATATTGGTTGGCTTGGCTTGGTTTGAGGATTTGTACAGTGGATATTTGAGCACTTGGTTGCACATTAAAGCTTGTGTATTGTATCTCCTTTATAGTGCAGCATTTTCTATACTCAGTTTCAAAAGATAAAAGAATTTAAATGCTTTTGAGTCCATCACCACGTCCTTTTGTCATTGGGGACTCCACCATCTTATGTAACATCCTCGTAATCATATCACCTGCTTGTCAACTCGATAAATCTCCTTAGTCCTCTAATTATGTGGTCATTATTACCAAAAACCATAGTTTGGGCTTGATTGCATTTACAATATATATGTGAAGAATAAGAAAAATTACCTATTCAGTCACACAATGAGCATAATGTTTCAATCTTAGGAGCATGGGGGACCCATGGGCCAAAGGGGCAGTGACGCCCTGATTCATAGTGCTTACTCATTGGTCGGATACGCGAAGGGCCACCCGTGGTCCCTGACCATCGTCCCTTCATAAGGTTGATGACACTATTATCGGGAGCGGTTAAGCGCTTGTCACCTGATCCAGCAGTCGATGGCCTGAAAGTTACAAACGTATGGTGTCACCGGTCCGGACGCCATGTATTTTTTCTGTGGTTGCTTTAGCCCCTAACACCTAGCTCCAACAAAGGCTGACTGGCTGAGCCACCTAAGTGAGATGGTAATATACAATCATCGTCTCTTTTTAATATACATACTTTCAAATTGTCTTATTCAATTATCGCTAAAGAAGTTAGACAAACTATAAGTACGGCGTTGGAACTATTTATATTATAATTTCGTGGAGGTTTCCAACTTAACCTTTGAATTGAAAACTTCTCATATTATTTGTCTGTATACCAAATTTTGTTGCAAAATTTGTAATTGTTTACCAAATTAGCATATAGTTTCACCGAACTACAAATAAATTTTTTTTTACTCTTTATTAAAAATCCAAGATCCTTAGTCACTGGTTTCGTTGGCTGTGTATGTAGTGCTGTTGTGGTGGTTGTCTTGTTATCACTTTGTTCGTGAGGGTTTTTTTGTGTTGGTTTTCAATGTTGTTGATGTATCTATTTTTTATTTATTAATACATGCTCTACAAATTTCTTGTCTGTTACATTTCTAAAAGAAAATTGTGGCATACAACATCCATAATAAGTATTGTACACATACTACCAAAACAACAGTGGCAGCGGATCCACCAATATGACGAGATCTGGCGGCCGCCAGACCTGAGCCCACCCCCTGGCTAAGAAAAGCACTAGTTGAGACCACCGCCGGCAGCGGTGTTGATTTCCCCACAACGACGGCGCTAGCACAAATGATTCTGATGACATGAACAAGGTTAAGAAGCATAAGCAGATGAGCAGAGAGCTATCAAATTATATCATGTACCTTGTCTTCAAGTCCGGTGTGATGCTGACTACCAACTCCCAACTTGTACATGACAAAGCCCATGGTGAAATTAGAACAACTTTGTCAGGTCAAGATCAACAGGGTCAACCGCAGGTTGCTCTAGATGAGAAGGCAGCGGTCATGAAGCTTTTTCAAGCCAGCAAGAAAGAGGAACAGCAAGAACATCAGTCTGTGGTTGATACCGAGAATCATCAAGAAGCAGCCAACCAACAGATATTCTTGGAGAGGGTTGAAACTTTTGATTCTTCAGCATGGGAAACATTCATGAAGCGCATTGAAGCCAACAAGAAGAAACAGGAACATCAGCAAGATCAGTCGACGGTAGATACCGAGAAGCGTCAAGAACCACCTAGTAACAATGATGATAATGCTGGTGCTGATATTCATCTGCAGAAAGTTGTGCAGAGCGCTGCAGCAGGGACTACTCCAGTGTTGCCTCGTGCATGCTTGGTGGCGAGGGAGCTCCTTAGCATCAACGATGAAGCAGAACGTTGGGGCCTCATCGCCAATGTGTGGGCAGAGATGCTTTACTATGTCGCGCCTCGTTGCGGCTGTGCTTTCCACTACGAGCATCTTAGCACCGGTGGGGAGTTCATCACCCACCTTCTCCTTCTCATGAAATTTCTAGGTCCCTTTCTGCCACCCCCTGATACCTGAGCTTCATTGTATAGCCTTATATTAGGAGGAAAATCCATGCTCAGCTCTTGTATATATATGTATATATGTATGATTGTTGTATCTTTCAAAAGATATAAGCTCCAAAAACTAGTACACGTAGCCATTACATGTAATAAGGGTTTGTTTGTTTAGCTGTGAGTTGTGAGAAACTGTTGTGAGGTATGAGTTGTGGAGAATCTATAAGCTGTTTAGTTGGAGCAATCGTGAAACATGCCCCTCTATCTCCATATATATATCTCCCTTGAAACGGTTGTGAAACATCTCTCTAAATCCACCAACTGGAAAAAGCAGAAAGACAAAAATCGGAACAAGGGTCCAAGATGCCAAAAGCAACAAGCTCTGGAAAAGCAGCTTTAGGTTCCACCCATTTAGCTGGCATTTGCTTTTGGCAGTAGAAGCACTTTCCGATTACAGTGACCACCGCAGGGGCGCCGCGGTAGCCGGTAGGCAGGAGTCGTCGTCGACGAGTAACGGTGGACCTAGTATTTTGTCGCAGGGTATGTTGCAAATATTTTGCTTGAAGCTTTTGATTCTTCAGCATGGGAACAATTCTTGAAGCGCATTGAAGCCAACAGGAAGAAACAGGAACATCAGCAATATCAGTCGACGGTAGATACCGAGAAGTGTCAAGAACCACCCAATAGTAACGATGATAATGCTGGTGCTAATATTCATCTGCAGAAAGTTGTGCAGAGCGCTGCAGCGGGTACTACTCCAGTGTTGCCTCGTGCATGCTTGGTGGCGAGGGAGCTCCTTACCATCAACGATGAAGCAGAGCATTGGGGCCTCATCGCCATGTGTGGGTGGAGATGCTTTACTACGTCGCGCCTCGTTGCGGCTGTTGCTTTCCACTACGAGCATCTTAGCACTGGTGGGGAGTTCATCACCCACCTTCTCATTCTCGTGAAATTTCTAGGCCCTTTTTTGCCACCCTCTGATACTTGAGCTTCATTGTATAGCCTTATATTAGGGGGCAAATCCATGCTCAGATCTTGTATATTTATGTATGATTGTTGTATCTTTTCAGAACATATAAGCTCCAAGAACTAGGACCCCTTAGCCACTACATGTAATAAGGGTTTGTTTGGTTTATGATTGAGTTGTGGAAAAGTTGTTGTGCGTTATGAGCTGTGGAGAATCTATAAGATGTTTGGTTGGAACAATTATGAAACATGAGTCTATATATATCACCCCCCTTGAAATAGTTGTGAAACATCTCTCTATTTCCACTTATTTGGAAAAGCAGAAAGCCAAAAATCAAAGGTAGGGTCTAAAATGCTGTGAAAATTATACTATACAAAAAGCAACAAAGCTTTAGGTTCCATTTATTTATAGCTGGCATTTGCTTTTGGCAGCAGAAGTACTTTCCAGAAGCTGAACCGAACACAACCTAAAATCTGAGTTCTATCTAATATTGATAGGAGGGAATATACATGTAACAATTGTGTCTGTTATGATTGAACAAGTTGAGAGGCATCGTTCATTTTTGTAAGTGAATAGAGGCAAGCAGGACTCTTTTTGTGTAACGTTTTATGCAACCTCTACTATCATGATAGCTTTTGTATTTGTTCCCTTTTCTGTACTGGAGATTTGTGCTCCAACAACAACAATCGACATGATGGTTCATATTGGATGCCAGCTATGGTTTGATTTATTAAACTGCAGGTTATACATATTAATTGATAAATATGGAAATTAAGCACAAAGCATCACATCACTTGAAAATATCAAGATTAGATTGGAACACCGGAATCGGAGAAGTAGAGGATCGCGCACAGATAAGGAAGGGGTGCCCTCGTGCATGGCCGTTTGCAACTGCTCAATGTATTCGGAAGGACTTTCTTTTTTCCCTAATAAATATTTTAATTATTTATTTGTTTCATACGTCTAAAAATCAAAGGATATATAATTTCTTTGAGCTCTTACTCATACAAGGTAACCGGAGTATCATGGCAAAGCTCGTACCAAAAGGTCTCTAAGACTAAGGAGTTTTACAAGCCATTGGAGGACTTGCATGTCTGCGCAAGCATTTTTCATGAAGAAACACCGCATCACATTGCCCCTATAAAAGGCACTATGGAACAGTGAAAATGTCGAGTGCTTTATGTTTGCCGAGTGTATTATATCCGGCACTCGGCAAGTTTCCTCGGAGACACTCGGCATACTATTACACTCGGCATATTTATGATTTGCCGAGTGTCAACACTCGGCAACCATCAGACATTTGGCATATTTAATATTTACCGAGTGTCAACAGTCGGCCTCTATGGAACACTCGGCAATAACCAACACGTGACCCGCGCGTGCGCCGTCCTACCGGACGGCGTGCCGGCCGTTAGGACTTCGCCGAGTGTCCGTTAGAGGCACTCAGCGAAGTACATATTTGCCGAGTGTTTTCTGCCGGCACTCGGCGAAGTATATGGGTTTGCCGAGTGTTTATGGAGACACTCGGCAAATCAAAAACTATTTTTTCCTCCTTGGCCCTCCACAATTTTTCTACTCCCCACATACGACATTTGGTACTGCATGTTAAAAGTTGGTCTATTTCTTGGTCTGTTTGCTATATTTAGTGAATTAATTTCATTTTGAGTAATTTATTGATTTAAGTGAAATTTGAACTGCAAGTGATTGAAATAATAGAATAAAATGAGTGGAAAAATCATATTCATGTCATTGAGTCCGGATTGATGTCTCATGCAGGAAATGAAAAGAAATTTCGAACATTTTGTTCAGGAAACACGACCACGAACGTGTGTCCGAATGATTTTTAAATTCTACAAAAACCAAACGAAGTCTGAAAATTACGAGATTTGTCAAGATGTCATGATATCATATGTGGAGGCTGTGGTAAAAATTGAGAATGTTTCGCACAATTTGTGACGTATGATGCTTATAAACGGAAGCATCTCCAGAGAAAATTCGTAGAACTTAGAAGGATCCGGTAAGATTTAGAGTCCAGGTGACATGTAAATTGGGGTTTGAATTCAAAATTTTTGTATAGGCAATACACAACATAGATTAGTTCATGTCAAATTTTGACAATTTTTCGGATCCATTTGATATTTTTTTTATTAATTGCAATTATAGAATTTTTGTTGATATAAATTAATTTTGAGCTATAACTGCATGAAATAATGAAATAATATTAGTAGAAAAAACAAATATGCATTTTTGAGTGAAATTGACAAGTTTTTTTTTCAAAATATATAGGAAAAAAGTTACTAAAACCAGCTATTAAAGGTATATATGAAATATTAGCGTAATTTGTCGAGTGTTTCTATATAACACTCGGTAAAGTAGCTCTTTGCCGAGTATCTTCTACAAAACACTCGGCAAAGTCTTGGTGCTGGCCCACTACCAGGCGAGTAGACCTTTTGAAAAACTAAAAAAAAATAAAAAAGGGGGTATGCCGAGTGCCAGATCGCGGGCACTCGGCATACCCCTAACAGTTAACCCGGCGCGACCCCGCACGCCACACACACGCACACACAACGCACACACGCCATAGACGCACGCCGCGACCACCCGACCCCGTCCCGCCGGCGCCCCCGCCGGTGTCCCCACCGCCTCCCCTCAAGGCGGCCCCGCCTTCAAGGCCCCCGCCCGCTCCATCCCGGCGGCACCCCTGGCGGCGCGACCTCGCCGGTCTCACGGCGCGCGCCGCCCCAGCGTCGCCCCCCCGGCCCGGCGCAGACACACCGCGGTGGCTCCACTGGCGGTGCCACCCCCCCACACACACTGGCGGCGCCCGGCCACAAGGCCACCGACCGGCGGGCGGTACGGTTGCCTCTTCTTCTCCGGCACCCCTACCCCGCCCTCCATCCTTCCCCACCGCCCCTCCTCCAACCGCGCTCCCATGCCCATCGAATCCCAGTAGCGCCACCCGGTCGAGCGAGGATTGTTCTTCGATCGCAGCCGCCAAGCTGGTCTTGGGTCGGTGTTGAGTGAGCGGAATCGAACGGAATCGAGTCGAATTCGTCCTCACCTTCTCATCGTTCTTTGGTAAGGAAGCCCTAACGTTGCTTGCTCGGATTGAAATTGTATTCCCTATTCTACTAAGGCTTCGCGGTTCCGCCCTTGAATTTTTGGTAGATTCGAGCAATCCAACCAAGAAATTCCGTAATTCCTTGTCGGGATGGGTTATCTCGACCCATCGAGCCCCACTAGCTGCAGGATTGGTTCTTGATTTTCAATACATGAATTTCTTACGCTTCTTTGTCGGTCTGGTTGAACGCAGCAATGAAGTGAAGCAGAGCGCTTTGCATTTTTCTTATCGCACTTGTTGCCTTATCCCTAATTCCATTAGTGCTCGGTTTAAAGATGTGGCCTACCACATACACTTCCACACACTTCCTTAAACCTTTCCTGCAATTTGGTTTGTGCAATATTATGTGGGGAAAACCTGAAATATCGTTATCTCGCAGTCTTGTATGTCCGGGATTGTTGTTTAGGCCCTTTTTCTTTGTTTTCGTGAGGTTGGAGCACTAAAATGTTGTAGGTTAAACTTGAAACATCTTTCGAAAGTAGCCTAGTATGACCACTATCGATTGTCGTTTTAGAAATTATAAAAAGGTAGGATGAATTAGAAATTAGAAAAGAAATTAGAAAGTGATAGAAATGGACTTTTTTTAGAGAAGATTGAGAGGTAGTAGGATGTCTATAGAGGTGATATGACTTTTTTTAGAAATTAGAAAAGGATAAACCATGAATTATTTGTTTTCTTGTGAGCTATATGTGGTTGTCGGCCATCGTGCCGTTCTGTTGGTGTGGATGTGGTTGTCGGCCATCGTGCCGTTATATTTGATGCAGGTTTTGGAAACCTCCCCGTGCAGGGGAGGTGCTGCCAAAATTTTGACTTGACACTACTATGTTCATTTTCGTGCTCAGTTAGACGCTCTCGAGGTCAATAAACAAGAAGGTGGTTTTGTGGGATATGGCGAGCAACATGCTTAGACTCAGAAGTCGTGCTTGTGGAACCT